AAAGATTGCTCAGTCTGGTCACCACCCCCTTCGCAGAAACTCCGCTGAATTCGGACTGAGTCGTGCAATTAGCTTTGTTTATTACAGTGTGAAATGGGGGAACTCATTGGTCATGTAATACAGTATTTAGAGCAAAATCTAAGTTTTCTCACCTCCAAATCACAGCGTTTCACTCTGAAGAAATGGTCTTTGTATTTTGCCTATTTTTCCCTTTGAAGCAGGTGTATTATTAAGCTTTATTTATATCCCAACTGTGAAATACCTCAGTGTAAACCAGGAGATATAAATCTGTTTACTTAATTGTTGCTTACTTAGCAATCCAGGCAAGTTTGAATTGGGTTTAATTGTATAAGTCAGCAGTTACTTCTAAACAGATATGCAGAGTTCAACAACAGGAGATATTAGATTATGAACAGTCTATGTTTGTACTAATGGCAATAATCAAATTTAGCTTGTAACAGTAGCAGGCGCCTGGGCTACAAGTGAGTGATGTTATCAGTACAATCTATTGAAGTGGGCATCGACATGGAAAAGGTGGATAGGAGAAATTATTGAAAGCGTTCCAGGGGCAGACTGAGGAGACCAGCTAACTTTGAACTGTGCCTCTGCATAGACTTTTATTGCAAGCTTGGCATTTACAGATCACTCTTGGCTTTAACTTGCTGAACACGACGTATGGATAACTCCGGGTGATTCCCAAAAACCTTTGTTCTCTTTGCAAACAAACAGCAATTTTTTTCTCTCTCTTTCTAAAAAGCAAAACAGAAGATCCAAGCTCAGATGGCATTTAAGGAAATCTCTTGCGGCATTTTTTATTTTTTTTACATCTTATATTTTCTGCTTTGCTCTTGTTGCTCATGTGAGGTGTTGGCAGGTTTCCAGCGCTGTTTTGTAATGGGATTTCAGACTTTCTTTCCACAAATTATGACTGCATTTTGAATCCCACGTAATTAACATTTTGAAGAATTGTCTTAACCTTTTGCATGTGTCATTGTGCTTTGACGCTTCTGTGGCAAAATTAAAGAAGCGTTTAAAAATGATAATTATTTTTTCTATTATTTGTTTACTCTGATTCCCACTTGGAATCAACCTTTTTATTCTCTTCTTTTAAACCGATACTAAGGGAGAAAAATACAGTAAAAAGGCAGTTTTAATTGGTCTCGTGGGAAAAGGTTTGTGATGCCAACCCGCAGCAAATTAACAGCCAGTGTTGTGAGAGAGCTGTAGTAAACGATGATCATTTTTGTTTGGAACCTTCAGTTGTATTTACCTGTACTGTGCCTAAGTAGATTCACCCACTTTGGATGGAATGCTTTTAGTTTTGCAATTACTGTGCATAAGGGACATGGAAATGGTTACTACATATTCACAATCGCGAGTCTTCCTGTCTCCAGATGGACAATTATGACACTTTAATGCATTTCATTCAGTCCATTCCCATATGTGCTCCATACATTATCATGAGAACTATTTAAAGGACTAGTCTGTAACCACCTATTGTTATTCTTCCATAGTGTACTTGTTTATCTAGTGTACTTTTTTATCTAGTGTACCTATGTAAGTTTTTGTGCCGACTGCTTGCCATGCGGTACATCCACAATTCTGTACGATTAAAGGCAGCATAAAAGAAGATCCCGAACCGTGATCGTGTGGATGATGGTGGAGAGAAAAATGGAAAACTTGCCTCGTCCAATTTCAATTAATTGCAAAAGACGTACATAAACCATAAGCCATATTTTGGGCATCACAGGAATTATATATTGGGCGACAGTAGCTCAGTTGGTAGAGCATTGGCCTTTGGGTCTGAAGGTCGTGGGTTCGAGCCCACCGTAAGACCTACTTCATGACTCCCACTGATGACTGCTGTCGTTGTGTCCTTGGGCAAGACACTTAACCCCACTTTGCCCAAAGCCCCCACTGAAAGATCTCAGCTCCTGTGGATTCACCACCTGCAGGAGGATCAGTGAGGGGCTGGTGCTACTGTATGTGTACTGGGTGCAGCTCTGACTGCCACCCCCCCGACCCAGAAATGGATTAAGGGGAAGAAAATGGATGGATGTATGGAAGGAATTATATATAAGGTTATTTGTTCCAGCTGTGCGGCGTAATGCGCGCAAAACGTGTTGTTTGGTCAATCCCTACATGGCTCTCGTATGGCTCTTATATGTCTGATTGTGATATGATTTCCGTCACCAGGATCACTGAGGGCGCTGAAAGCACAGTTTTTTCAACAGCGAGTTGAAGCAAAACTCCATCCATGAGCACTTCCCTATTGGACTTCATTGAGCTAGTTTATGACGTAAACCCGGACAAACCATTTGTGTGAAGATCCAGTCCATTTGGCAATACTGGTCAGGAACTTTTTTTGTTTGATTATCCAACATGTAAGCACATAATCTGGATATCACTGAGGCAGAGTGGGCAGAGAAAAGCCATGCTTCTAAAAGATAAATGGGTGAGGGGGGTTTGGATTAATATAAGCGTTTTGCTTCCTCCAACCCCTTTTCAATCCCTGTATGTGCTTTTGTTTTCTTATTTTATGTGAAAATTATGTGTGCAGGTTTTTGAAATAAATATTTCATTCATTCATTCAGATATACAGTATATGTATTTGGACACGTATAGGAAACTTTCTTTTGGTCATTGCGATGAAGCATTCATTTTCCTTGTTTAATTTTGTGAATGCGAAGAAATGAAAATCTTCACAAAAAACATGGTGTGTTGAAGGCAGAAATTCTATGTCTGGCATGTCAACATGCAGTTGAGCCCGTTATAATAGCTATTATATATATGTATGATAGCAATATTATTTAGAATACCAGTTCCAAAGTTTGAATAATCAGTTACAAGACGCCTTTGAACAGCACCCTCTGCTCAACCGGGTAAAGCCACATGTAGACCAGGGCCAGAGTGGTCAGACCGGGCAAAGTCTATTGAGTCCAGATCTGGAGCATACTGTAGTCTCGAGTTTCAATTAAACTGTGACAAATAAAGGCTTGTTTATCTTATCTAGTAGTTTCACAATGTATAATAGAGAGCAGACTGGTGACATAAATCCAATGTTCATAAAGGAAATGGGCAAAACAAGATAAACATAAATAAAAGCTACAGTATGAGCTGCGGGTTTATACATTCACACTAGTGTCAGTTTAGTATTAACTAACAAAATGTCCGATATGGGATGAGATTTGATAGGGATTTAGTGCGATCGTACTGGAAATGTGTGCTGCACTGCAAACTTGGTGAATGCGCATGAGTGGATTTATTTGATTCCAAACTGAGACCAGAGATTATAGAGTTGCCAAGTTGTATTTATTTCATTGATATGTGGACTTTCACATATTGCCTCCTAAATGTCACTCTTGCATTTGAACCACTTCAATTTACATTTGTCGTTGTAGAAAATCCTGCCGATGAAACTTAATAGCACAGACTTTCCATAAACGGCGACACAGGGCTTCGGACAATGGCAGAAATAAGTCTGTCTCATTACATTTATTTGTCATTTACTGGACAAGGTCATTAGCGGTGTCACTAAAAGGCTATCGACTGTAGTCCAGTAAACGAAGCCGCTATAAGTCACTGTCGCACTGTGGGCAGGAAAGAGTTAAGTCTATTCAGCGCAGCTACATCCCTGCTCCATCAACGCAAGAGTCATTGTTTCAATTATATCCATGTAATTACATCTATAAATTGAAAAGTGATTGCACCGGGAGAAAGTGTGGGGGACAAGTCTTGTTTCAATGCAGAGGAAATATAACCCCTGATTAAATAAAGAAAAAGAAAACGAAAAGGTTTGCAGCAAAAAAAAGGGGATGGAAGGAAATATTTATATACTGTTTAAAAGGAATTTGATGCTTTAGTTTGTTTACTTGACTTTGGACAGTACACATTCAATAATGTGTCAGCAAACAGCTTCAACATAAGTACGCTGGAATAGCAAAATAGCTAAATTGCATCCATTGTCCCGAATGCTAAATATAAACAAAATGTGGTAGAGGAGTTTAGCATAACAATATGGTTATATTTAGAGTGAGTGTCAAAACGTGTGCAGCTGTGTAGGAGACAGAACATGGGACTGTCACAACATATTTTTATAGTTGAATAAAAAGTTGAATTACATATTACACACTATGTTAGTAGGATAGGATATTACAGAGACTAAACCTATTTGTTCAGCAACCAGTGACAATTTGGATTTGACATTGGTCTTGTGTGTATGAAACTGTTTTTGTTTAATAATCGAAGAAATACACTGAACATATTCTAACAGATATTATTGTGAGGGCTTCCTATATTCCAACCACAATTGCAATATTATCTTTTCTATCTATCTATCTGATAATATCTATATTATTTATATATACATTTACGTGATTCTTTTGGATTGTTCCTTCATAATTTTCAGAGATTGCATGTTTTCAATACACAACGTGTGCTGTTTCTGAGAGGGATGTGTATTCTGTATAAACTGGTGCAGTAGGGAAACTGGCCCCACAGCGCTTGCCTGTAAGCCGTCCCTCTGACCACCCACTGACCGCGACGGCAATTAGTTGCGGCGCAGAAGTGATGGGAAGGTGCCCCAGTAAAGCACGGGGGTCGGAATGGCACACAGACACGAGCATCAGTTTCAAATCCGCTTTATTCCGCTGTAAATCCCTTCGGCTGCACACACATCCTGTCGAGACTCCGGCGCGGACATACCGGCACCGCACGCTCTGCCCTCTATGGACACACGCCACATTACTGACATAATCAAACACGGCTTATTCCAAGGAGCGCTGTGCAAAAGGCCCGGTCGCAGGGACATTTCTGCACATTGGATTTCCTGTCGTAGTGTTGTTGTTTACTGAGCGGAGAGACAGCCATGTAATACAATGAACTTTACTGGTAAAATAAGAACATTTCCTCCTGTGCTGCATATTGAGTCCAGGAGCTGTGTGAACTGCACCATGGGCCTGGGCTAATACTTTTTTTTTTCTTTTTTGAATAACGTCTGCATGGCCTCCCTGTGTCACCGTGAGTTCTGTTCACGCTTGGCAAGACCATGCAGTTCTGTGAAATTTAATTTGTGAATCCAACGTGTGTGTTTGTGCTGGATAAAGCCAAATGAACACAGGGTTTTTCGCGGTGAACTTTTGTAGATAAAGTTTGGAATGAATGAGTAAATGCATGCTTACTTAGAGCATTAGGAATATTTTGTAATTATGTGTGTGCAGAGGGATAGAGATGAGTACAGTTGTATGTTGTTATTAAAGCTTGTAATGTGATAAAATGTGTGTTCCTTGCTCTAAAATCAATTTTGTTTGATCATTAGCCTTCACCTGCTTGTCTCTTTGGCCTCTGTCTCATCTTTAGATCAGCTTGTTTCATTGAAAAAGAAAATACCAACCCTCACTCATCTCTCTCACATATAAAAGATGTTTTCTAGTAAGATAAAGACAGAATTGTGTAAGCTGTAGAAGTGTGACGATATATCGACATTGTGATGTATCGTGATACTTTCTCACGCGATCGATTATCGAGTATCGGTTAAAAAAAAGAGAAAACTTTATATACTACTTAAATAAAACTTCTTAATATATGGCTACATTACGCATCTCTATTCCATTTATCATGAAACAAAGTGTATTTTTTCACTCAAATTTTTTCTTTTATTTATGCCAATATGTGCTGTATTTGAATCCAGAGTTGAGAATTAGTCAATAACTTACACTTATAACTATTTTGTGTTTATTCAGATTGCTTTACTAAAAGATTTCTGTAACAGTGTATTTCTGACCAATATATCGATAATCGTCATATTGTGATATAATCGTTATTGTGAGCTTTGTATCGCGTATCGTATCGTGAGGTACCCTGAGGTTCCTACCCCTAGACAGATGGGGTACCTAACTTTGAAATCACAACATAATCCATGTAATTTGGCCTTCATTACATCTCTAGATCAGAAAAGTAGCAACATAAAGAGGACCACTCTCACTCAGTCAATCAGCGCCAAATAGTGAGTCAGACGGCTCTTTACATAACATGTTTTCTAATGTTACTTTAAAAGATGGCTTGTAATTCCCCAGCTTTAAACTGGACTCATTCTGTGGGTACAAGCAAGGTTTCAAACATTTGAAATACAAAGAAGTTGGCACACCAGCTATAAAAACATGTTATAAAAAATAGAATATAAGAAAAAACTTGTAGATTGAAGTGTCTCCACCCTTTTCATAAGAACGACACAAAATTCAACTCTGAAGCAATAAAATCCGGCTCTATTTATTTATATAATATATATGATCCTCTGCAGCACAGAGAGGAGACAGAAAACACCAGTTTAATAACGGCTGTATTTATTGCATTGATATTTCTCATTGTATGCGGTGTGGATACGTCTGTGCTCTTCTCTGTCCTAAGTGAAGGGTGTGCGAGTGGGAATCAGTGCTGTACATAATGGAAGAACAGCGATATGCACTGGGCCATAACGGTTGATACTCCGGCTCTTGTGGGATTTGAAGTTTCCTATCTGACTTTTGTGTGAGAGAGTCTGGGTGCTTACTCCAGACACGTCCCTAGACCTGTTAAGGACGAGATTGAATAAACTATGATTTGAGTTCAGAAAACAGTGGGATATGATAAAATAGCCTGTAAACTCTGCAAACTAGAAAATTGTATTTGGTTATACTTGAAAAACCCACTTAAAATATAGTTTTCCTTCTATTACAAATCTTACACAAATAACTAGTTTCTAGTTGGATGGATGGCTGGACAAAGAGAATTGGAACACAAACCACTTTATTGGGTATTCTCCTCCTGCAACAAGCAAATGTATTTTGCAAAAGGTATCGACATGGACATGTGTTATTTACCTGCTATGCAAGTCTGTCTGTCAGTCCTGTTGAGAGAATAAAAAATGGTGCTTTGAAATGCAACAATATTTTAGATAAAAAGACTTGTTTCTTGAAGTAATCTGTTTACATCATCCACTGCTTTGATAGACTGTAGACATTTACATTTTTTCTGTATAATTTTAAAGCTTGGGTACCTAACTTTTGAAACTACAAACAATGTAATTATACAAAAATATCTAACAAATTAATCGCTCTCAAAACAGATTGGGTCCATTCCTTTTCACGCACATGTATTTTTGGAGAAAAGACGACCCTCAATCACTCAACAGGGAGAGGCCCCGCCCACATGGGTTCAAACAACACCATTAAAACAATTCATAATGTGCTTTCCAAAACACAAATGCTTCATTAAAATGCTGCTTCTTCCCTTCTTTACACATTATTTGAACATTATGCAATTAAACAAAAAATGTATCTCAATGTTGTCAGTGCAGACTTTCTAAATTCATCATAAAAAGGATAGTTTCACAGAAAATGCACTTCACCTTCATTTCTCACAGAGCACAGTCTGTTCTCCTCAGGAGTTTCCAGCTCCCAGTTTCTAAGGCCAATGGAAGAATTCCTGCATGCATCTGAGCAACCGGACATCTTTGATTTGAATTTGCTTTGACTTTAGATGAATGAATATACAGTGCCTTGCGAAAGTATTCGGCCCCCTTGAACCTTTCAACATTTCGCCACATTTCAGGCTTCAAACATAAAGATATAAAAAATATTTTTTTTGTCAAGAATCAACAACAAGTGGGACACAATCGTGAAGTGGAACAAAATGTATTGGATAATTTAAACTTTTTTAACAAATAAAAAACTGAAAAGTGGGGCGTGCAATATTATTCGGCCCGCTTGCGCTAATACTTTGTAGCGCCACCTTTTGCTGCAATTACAGCTGCAAGTCGCTTGGGGTATGTCTCTATCAGTTTTGCACATCGAGAGACTGGAATTCTTGCTCATTCTTCCTTGCAAAACAGCTCAAGCTCAGTGAGGTTGGATGGAGAGCGTTTGTGAACAGCAGTTTTCAGCTCTTTCCACAGATTCTCGATTGGATTCAGGTCTGGACTTTGACTTGGCCATTCTAACACCTGGATACGTCTATTTGTGAACCATTCCATTGTAGATTTGGCTTTATGTTTTGGATCATTGTCCTGTTGGAAGATAAATCTCCGTCCCAGCCTCAAGTCTTTAGCAGACTCCAACAGGTTTTCTTCCAGAATGGTCCTGTATTTGGTTCCATCCATCTTCCCATCAATTTTAGCCGTCTTCCCTGTCCCTGCTGAAGAAAAGCAGGCCCAAACCATGATGCTGCCACCACCATGTTTGACAGTGGGGATGGTGTGTTCAGGGTGATGAGCTGTGTTGCTTTTACGCCAAACATATCGTTTTGCATTGTGGCCAAAAAGTTCGATTTTGGTTTCATCTGACCAGAGCACCTTCTTCCACATGTTTGGTGTGTCTCCCAGGTGGCTTGTGGCAAACTTTAAACAAGACCTTTTATGGATTTCTTTAAGAAATGGCTTTCTTCTTGCCACTCTTCCATAAAGGCCAGATTTGTGCAGTGACGACTGATTGTTGTCCTATGGACAGACTCTCCCACCTCAGCTGTAGTTATCTGCAGTTCATCCAGAGTGATCATGGGCCTCTTGGCTGCATCTCTGATCAGTCTTCTCCTTGTTTGAGATGAAAGTTTGGAGGGACGGCCGGGTCTTGGTAGATTTGCAGTGGTCTGATACTCCTTCCATTTCAATATAATTGCTTGCACAGTGCTCCTTGAGATGTTTAAAGCTTGGGAAATCTTTTTGTATCCAAATCAGCTTTAAACTTCTCCACAACAGTATCTCGGACCTGCCTGGTGTGTTCCTTTGTCTTCATGGTTCTCTCTGCGCTTTAAACAGAACCCTGAGACTATCAAAGAGCAGGTGCATTTATACGGAGACTTGATTACACACAAGTGCATTCTATTTATCATCATCAGTCATTTAGGACAACATTGGATCATTCAAAGATCCTCACTGAACTTCTGGAGTGAGTTTGCTGCACTGAAAGTAAAGGGGCCGAATAATATTGCACGCCCCACTTTTCAGTTTTTTATTTGTTAAAAAAGTTTAAATTATCCAATAAATTTTGTTCCACTTCACGATTGTGTCCCACATGTTGTTGATTCATGACAAAAAATTAAAATGTTATATCTTTATGTTTGTGTCAAAATCCCAGTCATCCACTGTTCTTCCAAATTGACCTCACTCTTATTATTTTAACGCTGCATGACAAATGGAACACATATTGAAGTACTTCAGCAAAAACAGCTCAAAGCTCTGCTGCCCAGGGTGAAGTGGCTTTACTCCACCTAAGGACCTTTTTAGTTATTCTGTTGTCCAGCATATTAATAATTTGAATCCATCCAAGGCTGAATACTGTCTGCCCCCCACACACCATCAGCAGCCTCGTTTAACAGGAGCTTAAAGTACAAGCAGCTTACAAGTATGCAAATTATAGCATTAGATGTATTCAACATATTTAGACCAATGTTATTATTTCAGTCGGCACAAACAGAATGTATTAATGCACTTCTTATCCTCTTCTGTCAAACAAATATGTCTAGTCCTGAAAGTAGAGGGTATAGTTGAAGTGTGAGACAAAGCCTTTGGGACTAGCCACTGTGTTTAGGTGTTATTTTCTTTAAGTAATCCCCCTGCGAGGTCAAAGACACAGATACCCCGCGTTTCCTGGTGGATATGTCAAGCGGTGGACTGCATGGGGGCAAGGTGAGGCCAGTGTGTGCGTGTTGGGTGGGGGGGCTATTTAGTGGCTACCCGCTCATTAGCATGGACCGCGGCTCCTCTGCTCTTCAGGGAACACACCGCTATCTGACATCCGCGATACAGTAAACAAAGCGTGCATCCTCGCTCCACAGATGCTGCGTCTGTGAAGATGACTCCATTCTTCCGACGGCGCTCATCTGAAGCACAACTTTTCTCATTAATTAGCTTTTTTTGTTGTTTTTTCGCCCTTCCGTTGAAAAGAAATAAAAAAAATAAAAAAACTTCAAACGCCGTGGATTTGGATTTGGAGGACGCAACGCTTGTGTGTGTCACGGCTCAGGCTTGACTCATTGTGCCCCGCCGCTGTCGAGAATTTCTTTATCAGAATCATTCAGAGTTCAGAGCATGACTAGCGAGATTGATGGAAAATTGAGGTGCTCTCTCATGCAGCAAAGAACAGCGCAGCCATTCCAGCCCCTCCGCCCACCGCCATTGCTCCATCAGTCTAAATGTGCACACATATAGACTATTGATAGACGCCCGGGTTCTATTCTGAGGCTGGAAATTTAAAGACCTCCAGATTTTGCCTTGTTCTTTGGGCTGAGTGCGAATAAATCTGGCTAAATGCAAGTCGGCGCTACTCCGCTGACACCTGAGGCGACCGCGTATTTCTCTCAATGGGGACAGCGGGCGCCAATTTATCTCAAGTCCTGTGTCTATTTCTGATGATTGAGCTCGGTGACTTCCACAAATGGCCTCTTAAATCACAATGTATTTTACAGTGGCTGAACTTGCGCAGGGAATAGGAGCCGGTGTCGAGCGTTTCATGGTGAAATAACTGTCTTAAAACATTTTTCCGCATTGCTCACTCAAGGGACTCTAACTGCCATTTAAAGCCATATAGGACTGAGAAGTTTGGTGAGAAGTCATGCTCAATTGGTCGAAATGTGCTTCAAAAGTGCACTGTAGGCTGCCATTTGGAATTAAATATGCGGCAGAGATTCATGGTTTAAAGCGTGCAGTTTTATTCAAAGGGGTTTTTTTTACTTTTGAGATGTTTTTGTCATAGCACTGTGGCGCTGTATTTGCTTCACTCATGAGAGGTTAGAAAAGGTGTTCTTATTGTGAATGAAATTACAGTAAATTTGCCCTACTAGGATTTTGTACTTTTGCGCACTAATGCCGACATTTCCTTTCTCTTCGACCCTCTGCTGAGAGTTTGTCGCCTTTTTGAAATGGCCTGGTCTTGTTTTTTCCTTAAGTTAGTCAATTATTCAGAGCATTTGAATCCACCACCTTATCAGTCAGTAATGTAAATGTTTAAAATCTTGTATTGTAGAAAACCAACGCTTACAAAGAAGAATTAACGATTTGATTGATTTCATTTGTTTATGGAACCCATTATATTTATAATGTTTACGTTGTTTTGCTTCTACTACTGTAATATACGGTGAAACTCGGAAAATGACATTATTGTAATGCCTTTTTACTTACCGTAATTCAACTTACAATGTGAAACTGATATATGACAAACACGCAAAGTAAGATAAATAGAGCCTTTTTTGTTGATAATTGGCTTACAGCTTATAAAAACCACATTTTATAAACAATATTTTTCAACGTAGACTGGAAGCCATAATCATCAGACGTGTCACAAACAAAGGTTCTGCATATACCACAGTGCATGTAAAGGGTCTATAGTATATATTGGTGTTACAAGTTGAATTACAGAATTACATAAAAGCAGCATTTAGCATAGTTTTACCATATGTCAATATATTTACATTTTTAATATTTTTTTACATATTTCATTACAGTTTATCAGCTTAAAATGGAGTCGGAAGATTAGGTGGAAAAGTGAACTATTTTAGCCTAATCAGCAGGATTCGGTGCAATCCTGGCTGTCCCTTGTATTGTCAGGACATAACTTTCACATATCGAGACCCTTCTTTTTGCTTTGTGATAGAAGTTTTTTGAATAGTTGGTCATTAGTGTCACAAGAGAGGCCTGTATTCAAAACGAATGCTGCCTTTCGTTTCATTTAATCCGCCAAACAGTCACAGGACAATATGTGGGAGGGCTAAAGTGGTACATTTTATTAGATGTTGTTTGCAGCCTTTTTATGAGAATAGATGTTCTAAATTAGAAGCCGTTTTTCAGCCGCGCATTGCTCTCTTAAATCTATTGCTTGTAAACAATACAATCTGTGTAAAATGTGATATTGCTCTGCTTTACTGAATATTTAAAAGAAAAACAACCCAAGTCGCACTTAAAGTCAAATACAATTTATCGCTGTGGAATTTTTTTGTTTTGGCCCGTCTCCTGGAGCTCTCGGGCAGCTGAGAGGGAACTAGGGGCAAAAGTTTAATTGCACAAAACACGACTAATGAACTGGACGGCTGAACGAGAGAATGCAACTATGTGGAAACTGCACATGAATTGACTTTTGATCGATATGCAGCTTAACTTTGAGTAAGATGCGTTTACTGATGTGTCTTTCTGCAATAAGCAATAGTAAACAATAGTAGCGATGGTGAATTGTGCCCTTAAGCAAAACACGTCACCCTCCTTACCTAATGTGAGTGAGTTATTGCTGCTTGAAGGGGTTCGGATTGGCAGCCTTGCATTCTGTCTACTCCAGGGCAGCAATAGCATTAGCTCCAGTAGTATTAGTTTACCACTGCAGAGTGTGGGGGGAATGAATAATGCACCAACTTGTAAAGCGACTTTGAGCCTCTGGAAAACCGCCATTTACGACTAATTCATTATTTACACAAAGAAGAAGCAAATACAGAATGTTGTCGCCCAAAAGGCCTCCATTTGCCGCCATGCGATCACACTTTTCATGTTATAATGTGTTGCAGTTGGAAGTCATCTGTCCTGCAACTGGTGTCATTTCCCACTGGCGTCATCATAACTTTTGCCACATTTTCGTTTTTTTTTAATTACCACTTTTCTGTTGATTGTAGAATATACAGTTCTGCTTAAAGTTTGCACACCGACTTTTTTCACTATTTTTCAGATATGAAGTATGTTACGTAATCGTTGTTTCTGGCTTCACTCAATTAATCAGTCAAGTAGATTCAAAGACATAAAATCATACACAATTGCAAACGTTATAAAATATATAAGGTAAAACAATAAAGCAGCAAAAAAATACTGTTAAATATATCACCATATATTATTAAATAAACCTGTATACTTTTTTTCAAACGATTGCACAATTCAGCAAGGCAGCTCAGGAATTTACAGGAACTTTTGCCAAGAAGAATAGGCAGCTTAATTAATTTTATTTATAACGCACCTTACATATGCGATGTACATCTCATAGTGCCACAGCAAGTTAAAAACACAATCAGTTGCAACTTTACACATCAGGCGGCACCTTGCTGTTGTGGATGTTAAAGGGGAAATAACACTATTGAGGACTGGGGGATGGGAACCTCTAAACAAGGTCAAAAGAGTAGTTTCTGTAGTTTATTTGACAAAAAATGGCTTCACACAATCACCAACAATGAATTAAGGAAAGATAAATAGTGTTATCCTTCATCTCCAAAAGTTTCTGGGTGTGTAAACTTTCAGACACACCTGTATCTGTGGATTCTACTTGTTCTCTTTTTTAATGGCATTTATCTCGTTTCACTTTGACTTTACATATGTTTGTAAGTTGTGCCATAGCAGGCAGGACACCAATCATCTCTATTCATGGGAAATATTACACTTTTCACATTACAATGTTTGGCTGTTTAATAAAGCTGAGTTTTTCCATTTCTAAGTTAAGTCATTTGGTCCTCTATTTGTGAACGGGAGCAATTTTCTGCCGGCATCATCATTATGTATTTACAGTTATTATTGTTGTGTTTCCAGACTCCCGAGCTGGCGAAGGGGCACCGCAAAAAATTGACCACGCTGTCATCGGAGGGGTGGTTGCCGTGGTGATGTTCGCCATCCTCTGCGCACTTATCGTTCTGGGTCGATACTTCGCCAGACACAAAGGTAAGGCCTGGCAATCTCACTTGATCAAGGCACACGTCTGAGGAGTGAGAAGTGCTTTTGTTGAGATTTGATCTTTTTTGTTGCGACAGTTTTGAAGAGTGCCTGATGTGAGATGGAAGATTTCACACGCGCAGTGGGCGGCACGATTCATTGCAATAGATTCGATAGCGCAACTTTTGGGGTCAAAATTTGGCAAATCTCGATGCAAACATTCCATTTCTTTGCACAAAAAAACACGGAGTAGACTAACTAAACAAATTACTTGAATTTGGCAAAACTACTTTTGATTTGACTGTGTTTTGAATTTTAGTCAATGGAAAAAACAAGTATCTTTTGTCGGGCAGAAGCAAGATTTTCTCGTTCCATAAACACATCAAAAATCCCATTCCACTCGCAATGTTCGTCAGAAAGTCGAATATTATATGTTTTACCGTGTACCACCCTGCCGCTCTAAGACTGGACAGCATGGCACCTTTTACTTTCTGTCTCAGTGGTCTGGAGGATGCTATAGGATCCATTGTTTGGAAGATTTCTCTGCTGAGGGACCCCTTCCCCATAAAACCTACAAAACAATGTATCCTGGAGCACTGTAGACACAACCCTGATCAAATGCAAAGGCACCATGCTTCCCACTCTTACAGCCACAGGACTGTAACTTTTTTTCCTCATAAAAAGTTGCCAAATGCACTTTTCAATTCAATTCAATGTATTCTTGTATAGCACTAAATCACAACAGTAGTTATCTTGGAGGACTTAACAAAACCGTTACATTTTCCAACACAGATCAGAGCATTAAACAGTTAAAAGACAAGAAATGCAATAACACATAGAGCCCTTTGTCAGAAAGGGGCAGATGACCAATGTCCATAAAGGTTGTTAAATGTTGAGAGTCCTGGATCATCACCAGTCTCCTTTTAGTTAGACCCAGACAAGTGTCCAACAGACCTTCCTGCATCGGCAAGGAAAAACTATAAAGCCCAGTGGTAAACAGTAAGAAACCTCTGTGGGGGGCCTCATTGAGAGAGGGATCGACTCCCACGGACGGACGGGCTATAGATCCAGTTCTCAGGCTGCAGAACGAGGACCACAGCCACACAGTGTAGGACTCGGGCAGCTCCAAGGCGGGGAGGAGGTGTAGCCCACAAGTCGGGCTGGATAGGGCAGTCCGCAGATGCAGATGAAGGAGGCCGGGTTCAGGGGTCCCATCATCACACCATAAATGAACCAATGGGGCAGTGGATGAATAGCAATGAACAGTCTAGAGCCAAAGTCGTAATGATGACGGATAAAGTATATATTCTTTGAGTTTCTTACATTACAACACAATTACATTTGTGTTTCTTGTACAGGAACTTACTTCACACACGAAGCCAAAGGAGCGGATGACGCGGCTGACGCTGACACGGCCATCATCAACGCCGAGGGAGGACACACCAACACAGACGAGAAGAAGGAATACTATATCTAGACTGTTTGGACTGGGCCAGGAGAGCCGGTGTGGGGACGGACTGCTGAGGCTGGTGACGGACAATGCCGTATTATTGCATTATGGATTACTCCAGTTGGTAACAAAAAAGGCTTATCGAACGACGTTGGATTTTCAAAGTAATCTGCGGAAGTCTAGAGAACATGAATTTGGACAGGCGTGGACATTCTGGTGAGATTCTCCTATCCGACCTTTCCTGGACTGCTGGGGCCTGTACAGTTCAGTTATTTCATGGACAATTTTGTGCCTTGTTCGATTTCTTTTGGTTCATTTTGATGTGTTTCCCTCTTGTCATTTTGCTTGTTGGATTGGAGCATCCTGTGTATCTCACCTTTTGTTGCATTTGCCTTTAGAGGAGATTCAATGGCCTGGTGTCCGTCTATGTGTGCCGCAGCTATAGCTTTTAGCTCACTGTTCCCGAACCCGAGGTGCTGCTAACCACACATGAGAGCTCACTAACTTTTGAACACGGCTCATTCCTCTTGGCCAGGTCAAAACCCACTGGCCCCAGCGCCACATAACATACACTACAGACACGCCTCTGATTTCTCACTCTCCCATCCGCACTTCTTTACTGCCTATGTACAATTTGTGAGTAACCATGCTCATTATAGAATGTATTGTTGCTTGGAAATGAAGTAGGAGTGCCGTATCATTTATAATTTCACAGCAGCTTAGTGAAGGTGATTGGTTTTTCAAAGAAGATAACACAGTTTGTTTGTGCTTGGTCGGTGCTTGTTTAGGATGTTGTACAGTCTTATAGGCATCATGACTGCTGTAACGTGCCATGATGTGGAGCTCTCTGTATCTTGTACTGTTGACTGAGAAACCCCCGGTCCTCTTTAAAACTCCTTCTTTGACTCAGACGGACCAACACACGAGGTGGAAATATTGTTTTGCTGCACTGCTCAATTCTTTGTTTATTGACAATGTTGCTGCAATGTAAATTTAAAGGGAGAGTATGTCATATTTTTATTTTAAATTACATCTATGTATTTTATAGTTGTCCCCAGATGACAGGTCATATTTGGCCTTTTCTGAACAAAAGTTTAAAGTTTAGTTATTTTTCATTAATAATACATATGTATTAGAGAGCAGAATGAGCTTTACATTTTGGGTTCCCAGTTTGTGAAATATAGTTCATGGCTCTACTTTTTCTGTTTCTATACAACAAAATTCACATCATTTTTACAAAACAGTTAAAAAAATAAATAGTCAAGAGTTTTTGCTGTTTATAGCTAAACTCTGTGCTCACGAGCTACATGATTCTGGCAAAAAAAATGTCAGTTTGTAATTCTAGTGACACAGAGTGCATCTAACATACTGTTCCTTTGAATATGGCACTGTATCGATTCAGGCACACATCATACAATTCTAAGTAGTCCGCATTTGAAATTGACAAGCTTAGGTACTGTATATGTGGACGACTCTGCAAACCCCCACAATATCACTATTTAATTGTAGTATAGACTCTATACTATAGAGGTCTATATGTTGTTTAACTTAATGTCTGGGGGAAACAGCAGAGTATATATAACACTTATACTACCTTCAAACAGCATCTTTGCTCAGCAGCCTTTTTAAGATAAGATTAAACTGTGACAACTTATAACCTTGTGGCACTAAACTTTGATTTCTCATGTATAATCACACGGTCAACCTTGGACAAAGCATTCTTTTTTTCTGTTGAAAAGTTGAACGTTCTTAGTCCACACAGCTTTTGTCTTGCGGTGAGAAATTATTCTGAAAATATTCCATTCATTTGACATTCATAACAGGCTTTTTTCACAAGGTGTTCCTATTGCACTACAGCTGTTCTGGTTTTAATGTCATTCCTTCAGCGGTTACAAGGTATGTTCATCTGAATAGGTTGTGGAGAAAGACACGTATTGTAGAGTTCCTCGCACACAAATCTATGTCATGTTCTGTCCACGCTCACGCAAGGGCGAAAAATCATTCAAAAAATCATTCAATTACACACTATTTCTAAACTGTATGGACATTTTACCTTCGGGCCGGCTTTGATTTGTGTAAGAGCTCTCAGGTTATCAATTTGCATAGCCCTGGTGTGAAACCTTTTCTCATCTTCAGGCTCAGACTTTTTCATCGAGTGCAACATATACCGTCTTCAACTTGCGCCAAAGCAGCGCTGGGTAATATTTTAACCTTCAAATTGTGTTTTGAAAAGAGAAAAAACGTCAAACTGGCAATTTCGCAATCCTTGACGATGCTTGAATGCTAATAGTTGTCAAGTGCAATGTATGTTGACGCTCTTATTGCACTTTTGCCAAATATAAATACTGACAGTTATAATAGTTTAGAAATGACGGGAAGGATGCGAATGAAGGCAAACTAGATACAGGCAAGGATTAACAGTAACAGACATTTTTTTACATCTTTATCTTGCCCAATTACACCCAATCACATTCATTCAATTGAATTTGTCTGACAGTGACATTTTGTGGTAATCCGTGGGTGGGTGAAGTGAATAATAGAGTAAGCATCTCTGCATTTGTTCAATAAAACCTAAAAATCAAGAGCATAATTTTAAAAGGTTTTGCATAAAGGCAGCCACCTACTTCATATACAAATAACATATTTTTTGTAATCCTCTAATGTCACTCAAAAACCTCCACCATTCTTCCCATTGTTTAGTATTTGAGGCTTCACTTCCCACCATCGAAATCACTTGATATTCTTTTTCACTTTTGCCTCCCTTTTTTGTATTTCACGATGTATCCGTTTATAATATTCAACAAAACAAACCTGACGTCCTAATTGCCAAACCAAAACATCGCTCTTCCTTTTGTCATCGCAGTATTGAAGAAAAGGGCAAAAGTTACACCGTGTTGCTGTCACATCAGCAGATCAATACTTTCCCTTCATAAAAGAGAAGCTGCTGTGTGACTCTGTGCATGCCTCCTGCTCCAGAGAAGTCAAGTATTGAGTGGTTTTCAACATAAGAACAAGACAAATGTACATGTATTATAAGGAATGATAACCACTGCCTTAAATCCACCTCCTGCTATATGTCAAAGGAAGTGCTGAAGGACTGAGTGTAGTGCCTTCTTGGACAATGAGGCAAATGGATACAGACCTGTCAATGACTTAGACTCAGGCAGAATTATCTTTTTTGGTCATGCTTTAGTTTAGACCTCACTAATTAACAGCTAATTAGTATATAATTTATGGTCAATTAGATCTTAATTGTTATTTCTACATTGCGCATTGGTCCTTATTCTACATGGTCTTATTCAACATCTAACTAACTACTAACTAACACTTTCCCATGTGGGTTAGGGCTAGGGTTAGGGCTAGGATCAGGGCTAGGGTCAGGGTTTGGGCTATAGCGAGGGCTAGGGTCAGGGTTAGGGTCAGGGTTAAGGCTAGAGCGAGGGCTCGGGTTAGGGCTAGAGCGAAGGCTAGTGTTAGAGTTAGGGTTATGGTTAGGGCTAGAACAAGAGTTAGGGTTAAGGTCAGGGCTAGAGCGAGGGCTAGGGTCAGGATTTGGGCTAGAACGAGGGCTAGGGTTAGGGTTAAGGTTAGGGTTAGAGCTAGAGCGAGGCCTGAGTTGAGGGTTACGGTTAGGGCTAGAGCGAGGGCTAGTGTTAGGGTTAGGATTAAGGTTAGGGCTAGAGCAAGGGTTAGGGTTAAGGTTAGGGCTAGAGCAAGGGTTAGGGTTAAGGTTAGGGCTAGAGCAAGGGTTAGGGTTAGGATTAAGGTTAGGGCTAGAGCAAGGGTTAGGGTTACGTTTAGGGCTAGAGCAAGGGCTAAGGTTAGGGTTAGGATTAAGGTTAGGGCTAGAGCAAGGGTTAGGGTTACGTTTAGGGCTAGAGCAAGGGCTAAGGTTAGGGTTAGGGCTAGAGCGAATGCGAGGTTTAGGGTTAGGGTTAAGGTTAGGGATAGACTAGAGAGGACTAGGGTTAGCGGTCAATAGCACATAATAGCTGTTAATTAGTGAGCGCTAATCTAAAGTCTTACCTCTTTTTTTATCGCATTTTATCCTCATGGGAACATCGATTGAATGACGAATTTTGTTCTCTCAGCTTCTATGTTCAAATACGACCACTGCGTGAGGTCGTCCTTATTTCTCCTTTCTCAAACTCACGCCAATCGTTGCATAGACACGATCTGCGTCAGTGTCCTTCTGCCCAGTATTTCAATAACAGTGTATTTATCTCATCTGAATTCTTTCTATTCTAACTCTTTGACTGCGGCAGCTTCACGCAGTGTTCTTACATAAGCACCGTGCAGTGTGTATTTCTTCTATCATCCTGGACCTTTAAGGAATAGGTTTTTCTCCTAAGATGTAATATTTATTGTCACACTGATGAAATTGCTTGTCAGTATTGTCTCTTATTTGTTTCATTATTTATTTGGAGTTTTATAGACATGACTGACATGATTGGAGAAGTATATAATGGTAATTCAACTTTGAAGGGAAGCTGTTGTTTCTGAATATTTGGTGTCACGGCTAAAGCTGCCTGCATGATTTAATCTCTTTTTGATATTTTTTCCTGATTCTCAAATGGCCGTCAAGGGACTTCAAAGATTGACTGAAAAATCACTTTTTTATTTGATATCGTTGGTATGTTTTTGTTCTCTCTCTCAGGTTCATGAGTGTCTATAGTTATTGTTTTTGCATCTCAGGTAGAATGCAAACATAAGGCCCACGTATATACTGTATACTGTACCACTATTGGAAAAAGAAGATTCCCACGATGTACATGTTTTTCTCAGTTGTACATGTTTGTATGTGTTTTCAATATGGTGCACTGGTAGAGACATAGAACTAGCTCACAAAGAAACCAGACTAGATTTATTAAGCAGACCAATTGATGTACAGTCAGTATCAACAAACTCACACTACTGTATGTGCATATACGACTTCCACTAATACGTATGTTGAATAGCAGATAGACTACGACACGATCCAGGCATCTCTTTGTTCTGTTGGAGGAAACTATGGTGTTTTTACTGTG